GTCAACCCTGAGCCGGTGAGATTTGAACCGCTGAACTGCTGATCTAGCAGTAGCCTGCAGTGCTGCATTTAACCATTGCGCCACCTCGGCTCTAAGTAGTTACCTTAGGGTACTACTTCCCACTCTTTTTTTATAGTTCTGTTGATTAGCCTCAAAAGAAATAGAATGATGGGTATATGTCATGTGTTTGGTGTGTGTGTTTGTATCTCTACATATAAGTCCCAGTACACACAATTGAGCTAAACTCAAACTACTTCGGTATGGCAAAGATATGTCCTAGATAGCCTATAAGGATTCGAGTGAAAAACGAATACATCCAAAACTAGTGGAAAGTAGAGTATAAAAAATGAAACTTGGAAGAAAGAAGTGAAAGAAGCTGTAGGAACTGAAATGAGGGAATGCTAGCAAGATTTTAGAAATACTAGTTAGATATTTGGTGAATGAAATAGATGTTATAAATATTAGTATTCAAGAAAGATGTCAATGAGAAAGGTGTCATAAATATGAAAATGTTGAAAAATACTAATGCTGCATGTCTAACAATGCAGCTGAAGAAATGCCAAAATGTAGAGGTGGTTTGCTTAAGGAGCAAACTGAAGGTTTGCTTAAGGATCTTAAACTTGTGCAAACTCCTTAAGTGTGAAGATTGCATCTACATCTGATGACAGAAGATTGCTGTCTGTTATAGTAGCAAAAGGTAAAATGCAAGAATGAATGCAGGGGTTACAAGGGATTAGTTGAAGAGTGTTTGGAAACTGTGGCAAGATTAAAATGCTATCTATTAGATATTAGGAAGTTTGTGTCTAACCAAAAGAGGGAGTTGGGACAGTAGTAAAAGCTCAGTGAAAATACTGGTTCATTGTGTAACTACTGGGGAAGACAAATCCCAGAGAGAAAGTCATGAAAAAAAGGTTAACAAATACGACTACCAAAATGTTTTCACACAATTACATGAATGAATATTCTTGGAATATTGCTAGCAATTTTGAGCCTTCTTAAGGTATCGCAGAATGGTTTGAAATAAGTTATAATTCAGTTATAGAAAATATCCGCAAGAGTCCACTGCTTTTAAAAAAAAATGTATAAAGATTTAGATATTAGAGAAAGTATTAAAATGCTTCTGAGTACTTCAACTGGAAAAATGAAAATAAGAAAACTTGGCTTGATAAATTGACCAGTTCCTAGTTTGCAATATATTTAAAATTTAGGTGAAAAAGATCAGAAAATGAACCAAAATGATTAAGAATTGAAAGAAACAACATAGTGGATATTTGACTTAGAAAACTGTAAGAGGGATATAGTAAAGCATTATTAAAGTATGGATTGTGTGAGAAAATGAACATCATTTTTTTCTCCATACATCACAAAACTGACATTTGAAGACAAGTGGTAATAAACTCGAGACTTAATTTTAAGGGCTCGTCTCTATTGAGAAACCTTTTAAAATGTTTGTCCATTTTCACAAATACTTTTATAAATCAATAAAAATAAACTATTGTCCTCCTACTACAAATTACTACAAAGAGTGTTCCTTGTTTTTTCTCCACCAGATTAACAGTTGTTCTTCTGGAAACCGTTCACAAAAGTGTCTCAGAAAGATAAGAAGTACAAATGATTAGAGTTGTAACTTTTGAAAAGAAGATTCTGACTAAATTGTTCAAGGAAAGCTTCTTGGCTAAATGTATTACAACTATTGTCCTATTTTATCTTTGCTTTAAATAGTTTTTCATGAGAATACATTGTTCTTATACATTAGGATATTAAAAAACTCATTGAAGCCAGTGGGCATTCCTAAGTTTAATAGGTTTAAAATCACACCAAGCCACACAGTTGTCAGCAAAGCTGATTCCTCCCCTCCTCTGCAATTTACAGAGCTGCCTAAATTATGCTTTGAACCATTTTTAAAACTTGAAGAAGTTCAAATGTAGTTTGTGAAATATGGACAAAGGAATATGTAAAAGGGAAAATACAATGTTTATGTTATAGCTACCAATCCTAAAAAAACTTTTTTGAAAGAAATGGTCGCTTCTTTATGAATAAATATAATACATCAATAACATTTAAATGTCAATTATCAGAGTATACTACATTTGGAAAATATTGTATTTGAACAGTTTTAAATATCACATACAAACTTTGATCCAAAATTCAGAAATAACCCATATTTGTTATTTAATATGTCAATATTGCTTATATTTCACAATTTGCATTTATAAACCCTGGTTAGATGCAAACTTCTTTTTAGAAACTATAATTGCATATTGACATAGAAGACATAGTTTCAATTTATGATCAGTAAGTAATAAAATATGTCTGTGTTTTAGTGAAGTTTCATATGTTCATGATTAAAAAAACATACCATTTTATCTCTACTGCCTACTGGTGCAGATATATATCCACATTAGTTTACATATTATTACAAGAACAAAATAGCAATAGCAATAGCAGTTAGACTTATATACCGCTTCATAGGGCTTTCAGCCCTCTCTAAGCGGTTTACAGAATCAGCATATCGCCCCCANATATACATATATATGTACACACACACATACACACACACAAAATCACTTCTACGTAATCATAAACCTAAATATGTTTTTGTATATGCATTTTTATAACTATTCAGGAGAGAAATAATAAATAATTAATTATTAATACTAATAATTATTAAGTTTGATTACAGTTTAGTATAATCTCTCTCTCTCTCCCCCTTCCTCTCTCTCGCCACACACACACATACACATATACACACACTTCATTAAAATTACATTCAGCATAACATGATTCAGAAATATGGATTTAGGACAATTGCAAACTTATCCTGGTCAGGTTCAGAAATGAGAAGAAAAGGTATACTTGGCTTTACTCATTCAGAAATCCAATCTTTTCTAGTTCTAACAAAAAAGGAAAAAAGAAAAAAAATAGAAAATACACAGGAGCTAGGTGAGCTTGTTGGTTTAGAGTCAGAAGCCAAGATGACCTGAGCATATTTCTTAAATTGTTTTTCCTAGTGAAATAAGGTCAAACTGATTTACCAGCACCTTAATTTCATATTAATAAAAAGTGATCAGATTTGTTAATCCAACTCTAGAATAGTTTTCAATAGGTTTCTACATGAAAACGAAGAGTTTAGGAAGCTTGGATAATATAATCATATTCACCAGTTCTTAAGACATTCAAATTCAAAAGTTGTTTAAGAAACATATGCTTGCAGAAAAATTAATCTAATTATTATTAGTTTTATATATACTTGGAAGTAAAAAAAATTACCCACAAAAATGTAACATTTTCCCCTAGATTTTTAATTACACCTCTTTTTTATTTTAAATATATAGTATGTATTAGACTTACCAAGTTGATTTGAACTGTGTTTTCCCAGTTCATTTCATCATTCACTCCAGCATTATTTACCAGAATATCCAGATTTCCAAAATGTTGAATTGTTTTCTTAAATGCATCTGTAAGGAAATTTGATATTTATTTCCACAGAATAATGATTGATGACAATACCATCAGAACTGTGATTGTGCTTTAACAAAGTGAATCCATAGTGATATAGTTATAAGTATGACTTTTCAAATCATTCATCATATACATTGATTTAACTTTTATCAATGAAATGCAGACCCTATTTATCCACATTGGTGAGAGGACAAAGCAAAAATGGTTTGCAAAGATAGAAAGTTATGAACAAACTGTAGTGAATGATATTTAGATGTAAAGTAAGGAATAGAGTTTATTTTATTTTCTCATATCACTTACTTTTAGTTAGCAATAGCAATAGCANCCCACGTCACTCCCCACCCCCCGTGCTTGAGCAGCGCGCAGTTGGCGCCCTTACCTTACAACCCTTTTCCAGCAGAGCTTCAACGAAGGCTTTGCCTATGCCCTGAGCTGCCCCAGTGACCAGAGCCACTTTGTCCTTCAGGTGCATTTTGCTTCTCTTTGCGCTTTCGTCCGCGAGGGTCGTCACGGGCTCCTTGTCGCTTAGAGCTGCGCGGCCGCTCCGGCGATTTCCTTCGGCTGCTGGTATTCACCTCCCCACGGCCTCCAGGCTCGGACGTCTGAAGGAAAACTGAATCCGACCCGTGCAAGCCGAAGTTGGTGTCACCTGCACTGAAGTTGCCTCCCTTTGTCCCTCCCTTCCTCCACCTCCACTCGCGGCTTCCCCTTCTGGTGAATGTCCGGCTGTCTGTCCCCAGGCTGAATTTCGAGTGTCAGGCTCGGCGTTTTCTTTCTTTCCGGAGATAAAGAAGCAGCTTATCTTTGTCGTCCCGTCCCCTTCCCATTTCATCTCGCTCTTCCAAAACCTTATTTTGATGAGCCAACAAAAGCCTCAGGCTATTCCTGCCCTCCAGTAAGGAATGATCGGTCTGGTTAGGACAAAGCTTTGAAAGAAGGCTATATAACCCTTCGTATAAGACGAAGAGCCCTAAAAATGAAAGAGCACGCGGAAGGGTCATTGACCTGTCCGGGACCATCTCCAATTGTTATAAAATGTATGGTAAATAAAGCAAGGAATAGATTATATGAAAAAAATTAAATAGCCCTGAAGAAAATCAGAGCCAGCTCCTTGGAGTTTAAAATTCATGCTGATATCAGTCCATTAGGAATTATGTGGCTGACCATGGAAAGTGACCTCTGAATCAAATTCTGGCCACTAGAAGTAAAGTTATGCTACTGATTGATAGCGGTAGTATAGCTGTAGAACAGCATTATGGCCACTAGCAAAATTTATACATATTCAGGATGCCACTTTTCAGGAATCTTATTTTGATCCTAAAAGAAGAGAAGGCTGCTTGGATCATTCAAATGAAAATGTAAGATTTCCTTATTTGATAATTTTGCCTCCTTTCTCTGTTCATTTTTAAACCTTAACCTAGGAAGGAAATAGGTCTATCTGTCATCATGTTCCACTGCAAATATGAAGTGATGTTATTCAGGTAATCAAGTTAAAACTTAATTTCTCAAATTTTATTTTAACTGAGGTCACTGATAAATTCATAAATGTCTACCAAGGGTCTTAAAAGTCTCAGTGTTACTTCTAGGTAACAGCATGCCTCCAAGTAGTACAACACACCTAATTAGCATTCTAAGAATGCTAAGCTAAGATGGGCCTTAGTTACCTTAAGCAGGGCTGGTTTTAGATTCACGTACCCATATGCATATTTTTTTCAAAAGAGCTGATCTCTTTCTGATCTCTTGAAAGAAAAAAGAGATTTGGGGAAAAAGAGCTGCTCACTAAGACTCCCATATTCAGTTTCAAACAGAATATTTTAAAGGTGACAAATGCCCAATTTTGGAATATTTCCTGTAGAAGTTATAAAGTAACACAACTGTCTTAAAATAGAAATAAAAACAATGAAATGGAATAAAATGGAAAATGCCTTGGTTTTAAACACTAGAAGAGTCAAGTTTAGTGTCATAAAAAGGAAGCTGGAGAAAAACGATAACTTCACAGGATAGTAAAAAAAAAAAATCAGCATATAGAGGTAATCCTGGATATTCCAATATGCTACTCAGAATCTTTTCCTATGGTTCAACTAAAGTATTGCTTAAATACTTTGGGTCTGTTGCTGTTCACTTTTCTGAACATGAACTGGTGGGAAATACACTGCTACAGTTTTAGCACACCATCAATACCATGTTTCTCCAAGCCTATTGATCAGTATGATGAGGGAGAAGATCAAATGTCTGATGAAACCAGGCAGGTATAACATTCTGTCAAAAAGGCACAAAATCTACTACCCATCAATCCTACTATAGGGCTGAATATAGGATAAGCTGAGCCGCATATAAAGAAGTGCTGCATTAATTATTCTGTAGATCAGCTGTCCAGCACATAAAATTTTAAAACAGCTCTTAATCTGCAGTCAAAACAAAGCTACCAATAGGTGATCAGCAGAGCCGAGGTGGCGCAGTGGTTAGAGTGCAGCACTGCAGGCTACTTCAGCTGACTGCAGTTCTGCAGTTCAGCTGTTCAAATCTCACTGGCTCAAGGTTGACTCAGCCTTCCATCCTTCCGAGGTGGGTGAAATGAGGACCCGGATTGTGGGGGCAATATGCTGACTCTGTAAACCGCTTAGAGAGGGCTGAAAGCCCTATGAAGCGGTATATAAGTCTAACTGCTATTGCTATTGCTAACTAGGCAAATAGTATAGTAAAGTGCACAGCTTTCTAAATCTAACTATTATATTTTTAAGCATTATTCACAGATCTGGGTGACAAAATAGTAAATTGGGTTTTTCTCCTTTAAATAATTGTTTGAGGTGGAGGCAGTGTTTATTACTTAGAGCCACTTCTTGGAGTAAATATAGAATTTATATATTTCTTATTTTTTATTTCACAAAACATTTACTTTGAGGAATGAATTAAAGAATTGAAGGAAGGGCTTGTTTCCATTATCAGAATCTCTGGATTTTACTAAATAGCAATCATATTATTGAAATTATTATATTATAATTTTTGGATTATCTGACAATCACAAAAGAGTTTTTCAATTGCTTTAATGGTGTATATTGCTTTATACACTTATACTTCTTAGCTGAATGGTTACTAGGGAAATCAACTCTTATAACATCAAAGAGTTATCTTCTTCAAATTCAGCAATATTTCCTCTAGTATAAACAGGATCTTCCTATCTTAATGAATAAATTGTACTTAGGATGTATTATTGTAAATAGTAGGGTAAAGTTCCATAACAACTACAGAATTAAAGTGTATTAATGGTGTAGGAATATTCAGAAAATAAAAACAAACAAATTTTGTCTTAATTTAGAACATCACAGCTCCACTTAAATTTTCTGTTGGAATGTTTCAAGTTGATTGTGTTATAATGGAAGAAAACTTCAAATATTTCTAATGATCCACTATAGGGAAGAATGGCAATTTTAATAAATTTTTTGTCTTTTCATTTTTCATTCCAAAGCTACAAAAATAGCTGACATAGCTGTCAAGAATATAATTAACAATAATGCTTTGAAGTGCCAATAGCAAACGTAAGAAAAACAGTTACCAGTATATTTTTATAGTTTTCAAAAACAACCAAAACATGAGTTCAGCAAAGTACCATTAGCAATTGATTTTAACAAAATCTGTAACAAAATAAACTTTTCTGATATTTTCCCTCAATGGTGGATTAATAAAGAAGTTGTCACCTTTGTACCATCTTTGCCTTTGATTTTTAAGTTGTGTATTTGTTCTTAGTATTTTTATATTTGTGTTTTACTATTTGTGTTTTAATTGTAAACCACTCAGTTGCTTTGCAGGGTGAGATGGTAGGCATATAAATTTCACACATATATATATATATATATATATATATATATATATATATATATATATATATATATATATATATATATATATATATATATATATATATATATGGCTTGAAATTATGCACAGACACTAATGCATAATTTGAATTCTGTTTTAAAACTGGATAAGCAAAACTGCATAATATTTAGATTCTGCAATGTAGAAATTAAGTAGATACTAACTAAATTTAACATACTGTATTAGTATTCTTAGAGCAGACAACACCAGCATGATGGTTGGTCATTCTGAATTGCTTCTAATGTAGTATCTTGTGGCCTTATAGTAATATATAGACAGTAATTAACTTGATGGGTCAAAGAGGTTATTAGATTCTAAGTGGATTTCAGATGTATGAAAAGTAGGAGATTTATCAATTTATCTCTGGTGATAATTCTAGCCAGCACACAATATGTATGATTGTCTAGGACAAGGCAGTCTTATTTGATGGGCGGACAGATAGAAATTCAAATAACTTTAAGGATAATATGAAGCAGAGATGGAAATCTCACTACTTACTACTAGTTAAGTAATCATTTAAAAATACAGATTAATTATTGTAGAAAATTAGATGAAGGAAGGGCTGCCTTGGTAGGCAGAAATTGTCTCATCAAGAAATTTCAGCCTCCAAGCTTATTTTTGACTCCAACCAATGTCACTTCATAGTGGACCCTTATGTTCAACCTCTGAACATGCTTGCCTCACCTTTATTCTAGCCTCCTTCAACAAGGGACTCAAACCATTTGTAACAGAGATAGAAGGGTCTAAAATGTTCTTAACTAATGTTAATGTCTCAAGTTTAATGGCTGGCAGGAGAAATCATCAGTAACAAAAAAAACCAATTGCAAAATACCAGAATTTGAAGCAATATGGAACAAACCCCTCCTTTTCTCCAGACCTTCATGAAGGCTAGTCTAATATCAGAATGGCACCTTATCTTTCAATTAATTTCAGTATGTAACAGTATACTGTATGCTCAGAATGAATTGAAACCACTTTAGAGTTGAAACATCTCTAAATTCACTATTAAGTTACTTATTCTTTATATCTCTGATCAGGAGATAAGCAAGTGGGTGGATTTATACTCTGCTGGATTTTCTTTCTTCTCTTTTGCTTTGCTTTGCTTTGTTTTCTTGCCAAC